GTCGGGCTGGCAGGGACTGCGTCGTCGGTCAGGAGACGTGGTGCAGTCTGGCGGGTACGGTCTTGTCGGATAGAAGCTTCCTGAAAACATTGCGTCGCTTAGTAGCGAGCTATCCTAACCAAAAGAGAAGGGAGGGATTATACCTGATCCAGAGAAGTAGTATCTCCCAACGTTGGTGTTCATGCCCAAAGAAGATCCCAAGATCAGCTCCCACTGAAGATGACACAGTCATGATGGAGCCGAACCAGCAGTGTTCATCCCACGAACCAAGTTCTTCTGAAGAACTCGATGGAAGACTGTGAGCACCACACGAACAATCAAGAACCTTTCTTGATTTTCTCTAACTGAGAACTCGAACTGGCAGAAAAGGTGGCGGCGGTTGTTGGAGGAGAATGCTAGAGAAGAAGGTGGCGAACTGCTATTTTCTTCTCTAGGGTTATCTGAGATCTTATCTCAAGAATGCGGAGTGTTCTGCTAAAAATCCTTAGGGACGGAGGAAGAGATCAACCAGAGGGCGAGTAGGCCCTCGAGAAAAGGAAAAGGGAACCAGAGCCCCAAACTCAGGCGACAGCAAGAAGAAGGACCAAGCTCGGGGGGCAAAGCCAAAGCAGCCTTTTCGAGCTCCAACAGCAGAAAGGGACTACACGCCCCTCAACGCGAAGCGGGCCGAGATCCTCATGGTGATCAAGGACGCCCCGTATGTGAAGTGGTCACCTCGGCTGAAGGCAGACCCTAATGTTAGAAATAAAAATTTGTATTGTAGTTTTTATAAAGATCACGGTCACAACACCGAGAATGTAAAAACCTCCGCGACGAGATAGAGGAGCTCATCCATCGCGGGTATCTGAGAAATTTTGTACAAAATAATAATAATAATAAAGCAGGTCGGCAGGGGGAGCAGAGTAGAGATGCTCTCGAGTCTATCTGGCAGGCAGAACAGCCGTAGAAGCAGCCCCCCGAAGAGAGACCAGTTCGGGGGATCATCCACGTGATTGTTGGAGGTTCGATTGTGGCGGTCTGCACCTCAGCTGTAGCTCGGACATTAGCTTGCGAGGCTGCTAGGGAAGAATAGAATCCCCCGAAGCGGCCAAGGATGGAAGACCCAATCTTCTTCACAGAAGATGACGCGCGCGGGGTCCACTACCCCCATGATGATGCGCTCATCATAAAGATGAAGATCAATGACTTTGAAGTCAGGTGCGTCCTCGTCGACTTAGGCAGCTCAGCAGACATCCTCTTCAAAGCAGCCTTCGACCAACTTCAGCTCCAAGAGAGCGACCTGAAGCCCGCGAACACTCCCCTGGTAGGCTTCAACGGAGAGGAAGTCAGGCCCCTGGGAAGGATTACAGTACTTGTGGAAGTCGGCACTTGGCCTAGCATAGTGAGGCTCAACCACGATTTCTTAGTGGTCGCAACCCCCTCCCCGTATAATGCCATAGTAGGTCGGCCGATCACCCATGCCTTACGAGCTGTGGTCTCCACTTGCTACTTGGCCATGAAGTTCCCCATGGACTTCGGAATCGGGATAGCACGAGGTGACCAGCTTGAGTCTCGCAAATGCTACGTCGCCGCCCTCAAAGGGAAAACCAAGGTGGCCGACGCCCTCGAGCTGGAGCGACCTACAGAGCAGAGCGAGGAGCGAGCTGCGCCCACAGAAGAGATAGTCTCCATCCCGGCATCGACGGAGGACCCAGCCCGAACACTTCAGATCGACGCTTCCATTGAGGAGCCTCTGCGATCTAAACTAGTACGCTTCTTACTTGAAAATTTAGATGTTTTTGCATGGTCTGCGGCAGAAATGCCCGGCATAGACCCTAGCATTATAACTCATAAGCTTAACACCGATCCTGTAGTTAGGCCCGTTAGATAGAGGAAACGCAACCTAGCCCCCGAGCGATGGAGGGTAGTCGACGAGGAGGTCGGGAAGCTCCTTGCAGCCGATTTCATCCGGGAAGTCCATTACCCGAGCTGGGTGGCCAACCCCGTTCTGGTGAAAAAGGCTAACGGTAAATGGCACATGTGCGTCGACCGACTACACCAACCTGAACCGTGCTTGCCCAAAGGACTGCTTCCCACTTCCTAGGATCGACCGTCTGGTGGATGCGACCTCGGGGCATGAGTTGCTGAGCTTTCTAGACGCCTATTCGGGCTACAACCAGATCAGGATGGACCCGGCTGATGAAGAAAAGACTGCCTTCATAACCGAGCTTGGCCTGTACTGCTACAAGTTCATGCCCTTTGGGCTAAAAAATGCCGGGGCAACCTTTCAAAGACTTGTAAATAAGTTGTTCGAGCCATTGATTGGCCGAAAAATAGAGTGCTATGTAGATGACATGGTCGTCAAAACCCAGTTTTCATGTGAATTAATACAAGACTTGAACTCAGTTTTTGAAATTCTGTGTAGATTTAACATGAAGTTGAACCCGAATAAGTGCGCCTTTGGTGTCACCTCGGGTAAGTTCCTGGGGTACATCGTTAACCGGTGTGGCATTGAGGCTAATCCGGACAAAGTAAAGGCCATCCTAGACATGAGACCACCCCGAAAAATGAAGGAGGTTCAAAGGCTGAATGGCCGGATAGTTGCTATGAGCCGCTTCATGTCCAAGTCGGCAGACCGCTGCCTACCTTTCTTTAAAGCAATTAAAAGCAAAGGGTTTGAATGGACCCAAGATTGTCAGCTCGCGTTTTATGAGCTCAAAAAATACCTCGCTAGCATACCAGTCATAACCCGGCCCGAGGAGGGCGATGTTTTAGAGTTGTGCCTCTCGGTAAGTGACGAAGTGGTCAGCTTGATACTGATAAAAGAGGTAGATTGGGTCCAACGACCTATCTACTATGTTAGTAAGGTGTTGTAGGGAGTAGAGACGAGATATCCGGAGATAGAAAAGCTGGCCTACGCACTGGTTATTGCAGTCCGAAAGCTCCGTCCGTACTTCCAAGCTCATACTATTATCGTCCTCACCAACAAACCTCTGAGGCAAGTCCTACTCAAGCCCGAGGTCTCTGGTCGACTGACGAAGTGGGCTGTTGAGCTCAGCGAGTACAACCTCCAATACAAGCCGTGAACTGCTATCAAGGCCCAAGCCTTAGCAGACTTCATCACGGAATGCACTTTCAGCTCCGAAGTCCCCAAGCCGGTTGAGCACAAGGCCCCCAGTTCGGGCGAGCTCGAAGCTCCCAGGCCGGTTGGGTCCGAGCACCGTGAGGTAGCAGCCAGTGTGGCATCTCTCCTAGTGAGGCTAAGCGCGAACTGGGATGAGGAGCCCTGGATCCTTCACGTAGATGGCTCCACGAACCAGCAGGGCAGCAAAGCCAAAATAGTTCTGCACGGCCCAAGTGGCACAAAACTGGAGTACGCACTACACTTCGAGTTCATGGCATCCAACAATGAAGTGGAGTACGAGGCATTGATAGTCGGGCTGGCTCTGGCCAAAGAAGTGAAAAGGTTAGGACGTTACAAGTTTCCCCTTCTGTGAAAACCTTATTTAGTCCTAGGTTACAGTAGAGAAGAAGAAGAAGAAGAAGAAGAAGAAGAAGAAGAGAAGAAGAAGAAGGGTTTGGCCAGTAGAGGAAAATCAGTCCTCTCTAGTCGACCCACTTGTATTTATCTCCAATAACATAGTTACAAGAAAGACCATATTGTCCCTCATAAGAGATGGGACACATAACTTAAACTTAAATAAAACCGGCCTTTCACTCTCAAATAGATAAACCCAAATGACCAAAATACCCCTGTTTTGTGTACTCCTTCCAAGATCCAAGGTAGCTAGGACCAATATTAGGAAATGGCCTTTTTTAGATTTTAGTTCCTATTTCCTGAAATAATCAAGCCAAAGTGTTTTCTCCTCTTTTGTCATCATAAGAAAGTTTTGTTGTCATAATATAATTGGTCTGCAGAATATTAATTTTCAAAGTCTATATAAAATGAAATTCTTTGTGTTGTAAGAAGGATTTGAAACCTTTGCTTCTCATCTGTTAATTGGTGTGGTATCTTAGGGTGTCCCCTCGTAGTACCCATAATGTGCAGACCCATTCAATACATACATACATACATACATACATACATTATTATATGGTGTAACCCACCTTCAAATCTTTCTTCTCTGAGGTAATTTTAGGAAGAGCTCTAGAAACTAACCCCTTTCAATGATTTTCCCAATCCAGAGAGAGCAAAAATCTATCCAGTTTAGATCAATTGGGATAAACCTCAAAATTCAACCAAGTAAAGTTTGCTAATGTTTTAAAAGGAGTGGGGAGCATATGCCTTGAATGCCTTTTGCATGAAGTGTACACCTTGGTTATGCTTCATGGGAAAGAATAAAAGAAAGAAAAAGGAAAGGAGAAGGGGAAGGGAAGGAAAGGAAATGGACAGCTCTAAACTCTCATATCTTTCTTCATCTATTTGTATTTTACATTTGGCTTTTTTTTCTTTTTTGGATTTTTTTTTTTTTACTTTTAAGATCATAATAACAAATTGTCAGACTGAGTTTTCTAATTGAAGAAAAATTATGTGAATACTCATCTTAGGGGATGTTTGATAAAGGCTGATGAAATGGGTAAGTTGAATTTTTTATTGTTCAATGGCTATTTCTTGTTTGTTTAATGAATACTGAATGCTTGGAAATGTTTTGATATGGAATTTATAGCTTTTTGAGGAATGGTATTTCTAATTCCAGTGTAAATGATTATTATTTACCATGCAAAATAAGAAATCAACTTATAATTTAGGTATGTTTTTTACTTGCAAAACTCATTGCCTAGGTGCCTAGGCATCCAAAGTCTTCCCTGGTTGCCAAGCTTTGCTCTGGTGCCTTGAGGTGACAGAGATCCATGGAAACAACAGTCTATACTGTTTATGTGAATTCCTGTTGGAAATCTTGATCACTTAGGGTTTTCTTACTTTCTATGTTATAAATATTGAAAGTTGAAAGTTTGTGTTGCCTTAGATTTTTGGAATTTGCTTATGATCTTTGTTTCCTGTTGTTCTACAACTTGGACAGGTTGTAGTAAAGGAAGATAAGTACAAAAAGGAAGTTATATTGTTTTCTGTTAACCGCAAACACAAAGACTACATATCCTTCATACCAGAGAAGCGGCAGGAAGAGATAGTTGATGACACTAGTGATCCTTCAGCAAGTGATGGTCGGCATCAGAGAAAGCAACTTGAGGTGGCAGAGATCTACAAGTCAAGTGTGCATGTCAATCCCATTTTTGCTTCTCTAGGAATTGATACAGGAAAATTTTTCACTGCAGCAGAAGCTACAGATATTGTTTTCAGGTATGTAGAGAGTCAACATCTGGCCAAAGGAGGATTAGATAAGGCCATTGTGGTTTTGGATGCAACATTATGTGATGCTCTTTACAAGGGAACAGTTAAGAAAGGATCTAGCTACCCAACTGAGATTCATAAGAAAGATTTAGGTGGTATGTTCCTAAGCCGTATGCAAGCGCACTATAGGGTGACTAGAGGAAATGAATCAGTTGTCAGAAAAGGTGCTCTGAAATCCATTCAGATAATGACAGAGAGGCGGCAAGGAAACAAGAAAGTTACAAGGGTCTCTGGGTTGGAGTCATTCTTAGTGGATGCTGAAGTATTGGCTTCAGAGCTGCAGAAGAAGTTTGCATGCAGTACATCTGTGGCAGAACTACCTGGTATACCGTCTCATGCATTTTGGGATTTCATGAAGTATATGACTTTTTGTTTGTCATTGTTTGATTCTAAATGCATTTTTTTTTTTATTTAGATTATTTGCATTGGTTGATTTGATGTAGAAGTCCCATTTTTGGGTTATGGTATATTCTATTTGCCATGTTTTTTGAACGAGATTAACCTTGCAGGCAAGCTTTTGCCTCATGATACCATAAACTGTATCATTTTTTTTTTGTTAATGCGAAATATAACATGGTTACAGATTGCTATTGTAACGTCACCTGTAGATATTGATGCATGGTAATCTCAGAGTGAATATGATTGTTTACCAATTCCTTATTTTAATTGATTCTCTTGTTCTGTCATATGCATTTGAGGATAGGTTGTTTATAGGTAATAAGCTTATAGAAATTGGAGTATTTTGAAGAATACATTTAGATATATAAACATTCACTAAACTGAACTGGCTATTAGAACCCATGAATGGACAATATGGTGTGTGTGTGTGTACAATTCAGTATCAAGAATGAATAATATGGTGCAAACATTGTTTGCATATTGCATATTTATCCCAAACAAGGTTCAAAATATCAATACAGCCCGATACGCCGGTACCTTGCTCGTTTCTTTCTTTGTGAACCTTGTTCAGAGGGATCGGTCTAAGATCCTTCTACCCCTTGAACCGGGTTAAACTCCGAAACACCCCCTGTAGAGGCGTATCAGGTGGCTCCCGATACAATACATATTGGCCGATACAGTCTGATACGTATTGAAATTTCGAACCTTGATCCCAAATAATCTGTGTATTGTAGCTATCTGGGATCTTAGGAGGGGAAGACTGCCCAGAGGCTACTTGAACCCACATTCTCATGCTTGCCAGCCTGAGATTTTACCATTACACCAATTAATGTAAATAGATGTTATGCACAAATTTACCATCTATCCGACATATTTCTGAATTTCTTACTTACTATTTTTTCCCTGTACTTTTTTATATATTCAAGGGAAGCACTTCTAGTTCTCTTGCATGCAACGTTCTGTGTTCCATATGTGGCATCATGTTTATGTAACTGGATTAATTCTTTCCAGATAAGCTTGATTGGTTCTATCTAAACTTAGCTCCAGCACTAGTCTATCAGCTATTTTGATTTGCGAGTAACAATTTACTTTCAGCAACTGCGTTTGATGCAATTCACATGTTTATTTACCAGTTATCCACACAGCAGATTCCTGTACCAGTGTCCTTTGTAGTAAATGTTTTGAACTGCATGCTAAAATAGGATTTTCATGGCTGCCTTTAGGAAATTCTATTGGATCTCTCTCTAGACCGTTTATAAGTGACTGAAATTTGTGTTATTTTATTTTCTTGACGGTGGAATATGCATTAAATTATTGATATTTGCTTTCACTGTTTGGTACCCAAATTGATGTCAGTGGTCTGTACTACAGGTAAGAAGGGTTATGAGGTTCTGGTTCAAGGAGGTGTCATTGATGACCTGGCAAGGCACCTTGTTGAACACTATGGCATTCCAAAAAGATATATCGAGGTACTTGATAAAACCAAGAAATGATAAATTGGTGGTATCTTATACCGGTTAGAAGATTGAAGATCTTTTTTAGTCCTTTTTTGGCTTTTCACTCTTCGGTACATATTTCCTAAATAGAGTTGCAAATAGAACCAGTTTTTGGTTACATTTTATATTTCTTTTGAGCTCTTGACTGGACTCTTCAGGGACAATTGGTTGGTGCTTGGTATTCAGTTTGTTACATGCTGTTTGTTGCTGGTTAACATTCTAATGAGTAAATGTATGAAGTGGATGCTTGTGAAATTGAATGGTTATATGGTTTTGGTTCAGGGTTTGCACGATGGCCCTTGATCCTTCCAACTTGATAATCTTGAACTACTGAGTACCAGACGGAAAGACTTGTTCTGCTACTGTTTCGCATTTTAATTAATTTGTTTTCATAGTATTTTACTTGATGCAACTTTTCACCTGTGGAAGCCCTTTTCTTTCTGAAACAATCCGCCAAAGCTTGAGTTCTTTTCTTTTTTATTAATAGATAAAGAGTTTAAATTGAAGGAAATAAAAAAGATACAAGGTCCATAACAGGAGCCCAGCTGGACATTTTTTGATTTGATTGGATGCCCAGCTGGATATTCAGTAAATACATTATACTCTTCGGGAGACACTTTTGCAGCTTGGGCTAACAGATGCGCATGCCTATTGTAAAGCCTATTTACATAACAAAACGAAAGAATGGAGAACTGAAGAAGCAGGTCCTTTACTTGGAATGAGTCAAAAAACATGGCCAAGGGAGGGGAGCATCCGACTTCAGAGCTTGCAACACTGGAAGAGAGTCTATGCATAATTGCGTATGAGAATTCCACTTGCCCTTTAAGAAATGCCATCAATTCTGCCTCAGCAAATCCTTTTCCACAGACATGCCCACCGAACGCACCTAGAAAAGAGTGAGAACTAGATAACATATTCCACAAAACGAACTATAATAAGCTGATTTTACTCTTCCATCATTAAATAGAATGACATTAGTACCTGTGGTAACTTGGATGGAGAACTTAGATGGTCTTAGTTCTTCATTCTGCGTTGTTAGGAACTGGCATTTACCTGTGTTACTGACTTTGTCAAGTTTCCAAGAGATCAAGGTTTGAAGTATGTTCATATTTGAGTTTGGGCTCATTGAAAATTTAACAAAATACCAACTTAAACCGACCCAACTCTCTCTCTCTTGGTTTTCAAAACCCCAAAACCGTTGATTTTAGTCAGCAACCATTCGAAGCGTTTGGACGGTTTTGACCATTTTTTAATTTTTAAATTTTTTGGTCAGAACGGGCCGACCGTTCAGGTCGAACTGGTAACCAGTCACTGGGTCGGTTTTAAAAACCATGCTCTCTCTCTCTCTAATTGCATATTACACTGACTTTACAACAGAGCCTGCAGTTACACAGGTTTGGCCCCGTAGCTCCAAATTTGGAGAGATGCCAAGTGACCAACTAGGTCATTGTGCGCCTATTGTTTGGGATTTACTATTTACGTGGTTAATTTGGGTTGGATTTCCTATTTAATTAGGAGATTAAATTCAATCAAATTTGCAATTATTATTGTGAGTCTTATATTTAATAGACAATTAGATTAGAAAAGTTAGTTATTATTTGTATGGGTCCTCCACAATTTAAAGTGACTACCTTCTTTTGGGAGTTTAGGTAACAACTCTTACTGTTTGGGTGGAGGTAACCATATTTTAGATGTGTTAGACAGTGTATGCCCTTAGCTCTAATCGAATTGATGTATATTATGACATTTATTGTAAATGAATAAAGTATATATTTGATTCATGTCATAAATGTGTGTTTCTGTGTAATACCCTTAAACTGGACACATATGAGACTCGTGTTAGTTTAGAATGTTCACAGCCATTGGATAAGTTTGGGGAGATTTATCCTGCCAAGGTTGACATTGATGTGCCACCAAGTGTTGGGGTGGCCTATTTCAGTTGCCAGTGTGAGACCCGAGGTACATGTAGTGTAGGTTTACGTGAAACACTGAACCAGACCAGATTTCCAGTATTGCCCTGAACCTTGGAGATTGATGGGCAAAACTGGAAAGTTACACCTGACCCCTAGACTCGATTATGATACTGCACTAGGTGT